ATTTTTTAGCAAACCAAAATTTTCAACACAAATAGTTTCAGATAAGTAAAGATGCTAGTCTACAGACATAAAAGGAAATGAGCAGTACATTCCAGTGCCATCGCCGCTCGGGGCAGAAGCACGAAACATTCCTTTGTTAGTGTACAAATCTACTTCAACAGTAGGAATTCCTCTACTATCTAGGATCTGCCGCGCCTTTATCTTCGTAATCACCGAAGGAATGGCTTTTCTCATATGATTAGACTGCATCTCACGCAACAGGGAACAAAAATTAAAAATAAGGAATCTAAAAGCTAAACCAATTCACTTGATTGAACAGAACAAGGAAACAGAGATAATAAGTTACGATGAAGAGGACGGGATCAGGAGTTTTGGCTCGCACGGCGGCATTGACTGCGTCTTCGATTCTCCGAGAGAGCATGTATTTATCAAGATACTCCTGCACCGACATTCTCTATCTCTCCAATCAAGAACTGAAACAATCGATTGTGAAGATCTGAGATTATGAACCTTCACAGCTTCCGGATGCAGTCCTCCGAAAGAATCAAACTCCAACTGACTCCTCTCAATCGGTATCCCGGCGTTTCGACTCCGGCACGGCGGCTCAAATCCGAGAATTCACACTCAGCTCCACCTCGTTCCTTTCTCACTCACTGCTCATTTCTTCTGTTTCCTTCAAATTTCGGTGCTCTATGATTAGGAAACCAGCAGCTTCTTCTTCCCCTTTTATCCCTTTTTCTTTCTTGGGGCTTTGGAATGAATAGAGAATACGGCCCAAGGTATTCTAATTGACCGCTTAAGAAGCCCAAGTGTAAGCCCAAAAGGCCGAAAAGGAGCGTATGCCATTTTGGTAATTATGTGTTCAAAAAAAGGGCATTATTGTAAAATCGCACGAAGTTACCGTTGCAATGCAGACCCCAGCATTCCTTTAAGAGCGGTAGCGGATCCGTTTCTTGGAATACCCCATGTATCTGAAAGAAGTTCCAAACAGAGAAAAATCATCGCCATTTTCTAAGAAATCTGAGATTTTGCCGAACAAGAGAGAGCGATTCCGCTTCGAATTTCAAGAAAATTCAGGTTGTTGACGACGTAGATTGGCTGATCAAACACTAAATGTGAGTTCGTCTCCTAAACCCTTCATTTTCTGGCTTTCTTGTTCTTGTTGGTACTTTTCTGGGGAAAGATTTGGTATGATCTGATAACAGTCCGGAAGGAAAGAATTAATAATACTTTAAATTGAAGGTAGTTCATTCTCTTGATCGTAGAAATTTTGTATTGAAACGCGATTAAGCCCTAGAAATTTTTTGGCTTGTTGAAGACGAGATTGGAAGTAAGCCTCTCATAAATTTCTAAAGAATTTTCTGAGTTTTTCTTTATTTTGTGTTCGAATGATTACTGGTTTTTTTGTTTTTTTGTTTTTTTGTTTTTTTGTTTTTTTAGCCCTGATGATTAGGGTTATGTCAGTTATTTGCAATGAGAATCATAAGGCGAGTAGTTAAGTAAATCCTGGGTTTGGTTGCTGGGAAAATTTTGGAAAAGAAAACAAATTTGTAGTAGTTTCAAAGAAAGAATACAAAATCTTGAATTTGTGTTACTCTAGACATTCTTTTCTTGTACTTTTTTGCTTATTTGGGTAAGAAGAAAAAGGGGTTGTGATTATTTGAACTGAAAAGCCTAGAACAGAAATCCAAATACTGTGTTTTGTGCATGAGAAGAGATTAGATGAATATGTAGGGTGCTCTGAGGCCACCATAGAACAGTTCCCATCTGCATGTTTGGTTCCTTAAGTCATGGTAATTTAAATTATGATCTCATATATGGCGTTTCTCTGAATTTTTTACATATATGATGATGAACTTATACATATTTAATTTCTCATATAAGTTGGATTCTAACTTCTGCAGAATAGCACTTTAAATCTGCCTACAGACTGCTTCAATGGCATCGCTTACTCAAGACCAGGATTTGAATGTTCACTTCAATGGTACAGTTGTTTATGCTTTTGATTTTGATGTTCAAGTTAGTTATATTGTGGCATTGGGGGTATAAGTTGGATTGTCTTCTTGTGTTCTGCAGGAGCTTCAGCTGGAGGAAAGACTAATGTCTCTAAAGCACCAAGAAAAGGAGGGCTTAGTGGAAGGAAGCCACTCGGTGATTTGTCCAATTCAGTAAAAGCAACTCCATATCAGGCAACAAGAATACAGAAGTCTAACATTTTCTCCTTCACTGAGAAAGAGATTGGTGCCTCTGGCATCTCACAAGGTGCCAGCAAGAAGAGCATTCCAAAAGCTTCAGAGAAAGTGCAAAAATCCACTGGTAGAAAGGCACTTTCTGACATTTCAAACTCCAGCAAGCTCCACCTGCATGAGGCATCAAAGAAGAATCAAACCACAAAGCTAAGCACTGTTTCTGAGGAACAAAGTCCACATTGTTCCATTGCTGATGAAAGTTTTTTGCACGATCATCAAGAATGCATAAAGGCACAGAGCAAAGATATCGGTATGGCTGAATTTCTACACATAGTTGGACTAGATAATGGTAAGGAAATTTCATATTTATGGTTTAGATTTACAATGCCTATCATGGTTTAGATTTGCTTAGATATACTTAGTTTTGCTTGCACAACCTTCTCTTCAGATTTCTCCAAACAGACAGCAGCTGCAAGGA